AAGTTACCTCACATACTCTTCCTTGATCCAGCAGCAAGACAACGCTGAAATCTATCGAGTAGATTAACTAACGATCGGTTTCGAAGTAGAAACTCTCTCCAGTGTGGGAAAGATATGAAAACATCTTCAAGACTATCCTCTGTAAGGTAACTTGCATGAATGTCTGTCGGGTATATGATATTGGCCGGAAAGTAGTCGTTTTTTGGCAGGCATTCATTAGATTCACTACATCCCCATTATCTGAATCATCTTTACCCTTTCCTTTTGTTGTTCAGTTGAAGAATACATTATAGATATTTTCACTAAAAACTAGGTATGTTTTGAAAATTCTATTTCAATGTTCTCGAAATATTTGGCATGAAAGTATTTTTCAACAGAATATACAATAGTATAACTTACAATATTATCGATATTCTGGAACATTGGTACAAAGGGAAGTTCATTATTTCTTATATTTTCTGATTTATCAAAAGATTCACACAGTTTCACAGTGATTATTTGCACTGGATCGATATAATCAATTGAATGGAGCAGAAATTGATAATCACCAAAGCACTGTCAAGGTCAATATTCTCATCGAAAACTTATTATTTCCAGAACTTGCTATGACAAAAAGAAACCTAATGAAATCAATTGTTTCAAAAGCTAACAGTGAAGAGAATATGTTAGAAAAAACAAATGTTTTCCTTTACGTTTACTATACTGAAAGCAAAGCATCTTGAAAATGAGTCAATAATTTTAACTGCGACAGTAAAATTGATAAAGTTTTGGGAATCTCTCATTTAATTTTCAGTATGAAGATAGGAAATAATAAGTTTTTGATATGCCAATGAATCGAATTCATTTTCACTGGATGTGGTAACAAGATTCACATTAAAAAGATTCAAATAAAATTACTATTTCAACAACAAAGGGGGAAAGTTCTAGATTGATACTCAATAAAAAATGATAGTTAGAAAACAGTTTTACACTACCATCCAGTCTACGTTATCACGTAATATTTATGACTCAAACGTGTGCGACCTGAAGATTAACGAGGTCTTATCTTCAAACGTGCGATTCCTAACACGGTTCCCATGTTCAATATTTGAGTTTCTCGTATTTATAGTGAATTTTTTGTTACAGAACCAAGAAATATAATTTCAAAAGATACAATGACCAGAATCATCCCAATGTTGGCAACACCATTCATGATGCAGACCATGTTTATGCCTATCGCAATGATGTTCATGAAATTCGTTTTATTGAACAGCATATTCATCGGAAAATTGGGAATAATTCTCTGGATTGTCAATATCATCAGAAATCATGCAGAACCTGGCGGGGAATTCTACAGTCACAACGTGAATCTACCACATAATGAACATCCAGGACATCAATTTTATCCTAAAAACGAAGGGATACATCACTGGGAGCAGGGTGTGTCAGAATACAGTTACCGTAGAAGGAAAAGAAGTTGATGCAGATGATAAAACTAGAAACACTATTTACCCTGAATTGTGAAAATAGTTAATGTGGCACCTTTTGAGCAATATTCGAGATGTTATAGAAAATATACCATTTCAATTCAAAATGAAGAACTTCAGTTTATAAGATGAGTGTCACTGTTTCAAATGCTACTAGTTCGTTAAAGAAAATATATCATTCCAATTCAAAATGAAGAACTTCAGTTTATAAGATGAGTGTCACTGTTTCAAATGCTACTAGTTCGTTAAAGAAAATATATCATTCCAATTCAAAATGAAGAACTTCAGTTTGTAAGATGAGTGAGTGCCACTGTTTCAACTGCTACTGGTTCGAAGGTTACAAAAAACAAAACTTTGTGATACTGATTTTTTCAATAAAAATATGTACTATATACAAATGCTTCAAATATTTTATTTTTTAGAACATTTACAATATTTTGTCAAAATAAAGATATATTTGGCAACTTATACGATGAGTTGACAGAAAACTATAACAACAATAAATATAACGTGTATAACTATAATGAATATTTTCAGTACATTGAAGAAAGTTTCAATTGAAAGGGGCATATTTTTGGAGAGACTAATTTTTGGTAGAGAAAAATGTTGGCTTCCTGCTTCTCCATTTTTATTCAAAATGAATATGAGAATCTTCCAAAGAAAGGAATAAAGAAATTAATTTCAAAATAAACTTTATACAAAGGAGGCAAATGAGTAACTTTAAAACAAACCACATCACTCCAATCGTCCAAATGAAGGAGTTCAAGAGAGCCAACAGCAAAAAAGCACGCCAAGTTCGATCAAATGTCAAGGTGTTGCTCACTGTTCTCTTTGATTATCGTGGCGTAGTGCATCAGCAGATTTTACCACATGGTTGTACGATCAATAAGGAGTATTATCTTGAATTAATGCACCACTTGCAAGAAGCAATACGAAGAAAATGTCCGCCATTGTGGAAACACAATTCATGGCTTTTGCATCACAACAAAGCACCAACTCACTCGTCATTGCTCGTTCACAATTTTTGACCGAAACCAACACCTTAATCATACCTCAGCCACCGTATTCACCAGATTTGCCCCCTGCGACTTTTTTCTGTTCACAAGATCGAAGGACTCACGAAAGGATGGCGTAGAGCTCAAAAACAATTTTTATAAATATGAAAATTCACCTTATTTTTTTAACGGAACAATCTTCAATGAAATCATTAACATAGAGGTACTTAATGGTTTCGGTCCGAGTAGAGATGACTGAATCATCCGGGAGAAGGAATATAAACAGCAGATATTTATTGGTTCACAGATGGATCAAAAACACCTTCCGATTCTGGTCCAGGTGTTTTCAGTCGCAGACCCAGGACAGAGATATCAACCTGCCTAGAAACCTATGCGACTGTATTTCAAGCGGAAATTTACGCTCTTGAATTGTATGCGGAGAGACAGTCAAGCAGCAATGGAAGCTCTTGGCTCCTACCGAGCAACATCTTAATTAGTAGCAACTTGCCAAAAACGACTCTTCTCGAAAGGAAGACTTACCAGAATGTATCTGGTTCGGATTCTTGGCCATACTGGCCTGGAAGGCAATGAGGCTGCTGACTCCTTTGCAAAGGAGGGTGCTGCAAGCAATTTCATCGGACCAGAACCTGTCATTGGCATCGCTTTGGGCTTTGCCAAACAAAGATTGAACACCTGGATGGCAAGAAGATTCATGAACTTCTGGCAGGATCTTCCAGGATTGGCTCACTACAAGGCGTTCATTCACCCTTCGAAGCTTGATACCAAACAGTTGTTGGACTACAGTAGGGATGAACTACAATGTCTAACACCATACAAATTAATCGGCTTCGTTAAGAAGCTGGGTTTATTTGATTGAGTGTGGACCAATCTAACCTAATTGTATCGTCATTGTCATTGATGTAATCGTTTAGAATGAGGGATTTGGGTCTCTGCAAGTAAAATAAATGAAGATTATGCAAACTTCAAAGTGTTTAAATAACCCAAAAGTTTATTTATTCCCAAGAAACTACAGTGGTCTATACAGAATACAATTTATGAGTCAAGACATTTTCTTAGTGTCATCAACATTCAAATTATCAAGATCACACATTATCATAGAAACATTGATATATAAATATATGAATGAATACAGAATTTTTAAGAATTTCGGTGTTGAAAATAGAATATGAATCTTTGAGTGCTCAAAAATAGTTAAACAATGTGTAAAAAGATTCGTCAGTTTTTTTCACAATCAGATTAAGTCAACAGTTCAAGTGATTGATTATGCATTGTATTTAAAATTATTACTACTAATCAGATGATCACCAAATAAGTTTTCTATTAGGATTCTCACTCTGAACTGAAAATTTCGATTCATACTGGTTTCTTGAAAAATTCAATCTCAAAGTTTTTGTGACAATTAAATATCTTTTAAATTCGAAATCTATCAAATACATCTTATTTGCTATATACTTGAACAGAATATTTGTTTCGAAAAATATTGAAGTTGAATATTTTGGAATAAACTTCCTGGAAAGTCAATTTTTTTTTGACTAGTTCTGAAATGTTTCCTTCATCAACTAATCCTCACAGTATCTAACGATTTCGTGCTACTCATTAAATTTTTATTACTAGTGCTATCGTGAGGTGTACCATCAACTTCTTTGACGTTCTGTTTGAACTGAATGAAAAATCTCATCTCCTTCATCAGTTCTTCCTTGAACGTCACCTGGTCTCTCTCGGACTTTCGGTAAAGACGCAGAGCACATTCTGCAAAGGAACCAATGATGCCCAGTATCGCTCCGACAAACAATACTAGAAATACTCCACCTACATTCTGCAGATCCAGAGGAGTTGCTTCGCTATCTTCTGATTTTGTCTGCGAAAAAAAAAACCAATAAGTCAAAAATGAATAGTTCTTGTATGTTTCGTAGTATAATGCTAGCATTGAAACATCTATAACAAATAATAAAAAAAAATCAAAATAAAAAAAAAAATCCATTCATAATTAAATTTAAAATATCAATATAAAACGTAGTAATTCAATTTATTTCGAAAATTCTGTGGCAAAATAAACTCCGGTTTGATGTCAGGTGGGGATTAAAAGAATGTATAGACAGTGAATGCGTTGTATAAGAGAACGTCATCCATCCTAGGAAGAAAAATACACAAAAATTTCGATAGGCTAGGCATTTTCCAAGTCATAAAAACATCTATGCACTAAAAATTGTTTCAGTTTGAAGGTGGTCTTGAGCTTGAAGATACGATATATTATTCCTGCATTTTGGTAAGTGTCATTTTTCAATAATGATCAGTATTATATTTATGAATAGCACTTCAGAAAGATACGGGTTTCCAATCTCACAGTTCCTAAAATATACGGTTTACCAAAAATTCACAAGTCTGGCAAGTCGGTTCGACCAATTGTCTTTGGCATGAGTTTTCCTGCTAACCAGATTGCTGAATGGCTAACCACCCAGTTTGAATCTCATTCAATTCTAACAGTGATTTCTATCTTTATAATGGAAACAGTTTGTTTTCATTGTCGTCCATCATCAGCTCTGGATGGTGAACCATGTAGCTCCAGACTTTTTGGTACTTGGATAAATTCGAATCCTGAAAATAGACAGAAAGTGCTGTTGGAACTGACGTTGTGAATGATATTTGCACATATTTTATAAAAATAATTTTGCTTACTTATAAATAAGATGTAACTGATTTTTACAATGAAGTCAATTTCTGAACATAGCTTATTCAATGCAAGGTTTCTTTGAACTATTTACTTTAGCAATCCCAGATATCATCGGTCCTAGGGCTACAACAAAGAAACATCAATTTTGAAGACTTGAAACTAATAATTGATGTTTTGGTTTCTCCATTATACGAATGAGTCACAACTTTTTAGTCATACACTTGTTCAAACAATAAGTCCTCTCGTATGTCTGGCACGGTGTCCCACATTTATTAACAATATTCTGGGCCACAGAATAGTGTTGATAAATTTGCTGAACTTTTTGAGGGTTTATTCGTCCTAACATCGGATCCCATCAATATTGAAATGCATACGTACGAGAACCATTTTTTTGTGTCAACTTTACTATATCTGATGTAACTGAAAGAATTGTTGAATCTGGCCTAGAACTAAATGACGTCTGGTGCAGATGGAATTTTGTCTTATTCGATTTCTTATTGTTATCATCCAATAACCATCCACTACTCTTGATCCGAAAGACCAGATAGATGTAATCTATCTATTTTGACATGATAGATCATGAAAATTGCGAAAAATAAAAACCCAACGTCGTCTCCACAATTTTTATCACTCCCAGTTGTTAAAACGGTAAAACCATCAACAAGTCATATATTCTAACATCTGAGGGTGATGATAAATTGTGGAGACGACTTTGAGTTTTTATTCTTCGGAAATATACTGCACTCCACTTTGAGATATAATGGACTTCTACCAGAGCTTACATCATGGAAGTTTGTTGGAAAAGCTGAGCCGTTTTGGTTGATTTAGAAATATCATATAGTTCTTCAGGTCGATAACAGTTCATTTTTTATAATGGCCATTATTCCCATTCATATTTTTCATCTTCTGGAGTCCCTCAAGGCTGCAATCTAGGGCATTCATTTCTTTATTATTTGTGAATGATTCAGTTGATATTCAGTAGCTATATGCAGATGATTCAAAACTTCATCTACCAATATCACACTAAACCATTTGTGAGCAATTTCAAAATAACCTGCTGAATGTGGTACATGATTGGTGTTTGGCTACTGATTTATCACATGATGTATCTAGACGTGAAACTGTTACGTAGACTACGAAAAAAATCTCCAAGTTTTCATATAATCTGAATAAAACTGCCATATTATAAAATACTTTCATAAAAGATCTGGAGGCTATCTTTGAATCTGGATTTAGTTTTCTTCGACACAATAATGTTAAACTTTCAAATGCATTTAGGATGTATGGATTTATGGTGAACAATTGCCCCAATTTCACTAACATTGTTATCTTGAAGACTTCATATTTTTCTTGTGTTAGGTCAATGTTAAATTATTGTTCTGATGTATGAAGTCCTCACTATGCTCAACACATTATCAGGATCAAAAACTTGCAGAAAAAGTTCCTCAAATATTTGCCTTTCAAAGTTGACAGTATATATCTACACCGGGGTCATATGTACAGATTCAACTTTGAAAGCTTAGAGTTTAGAAGATGCTCAGTGTTTTTTCATATCTCCATAAACAGGTTTATAATTTTATTGACTGCTCTGACCTACTAAGCCAACTGAATTTTAAATTACTGCAATTCTGACGTAGAAACAACTAAACTTTCTATAATTTCCGACCAAGTAACGATGTCAGCACAAAATGTAATAGTTTTGACAAAATTTGTAACTTTTGCAATTTATTCTGGGTAAGCTTCAAGCAAATTAAGCATGCGTTGCGAAATATATTACATTTTACTTATTTTTTCATCTATTTTTGTAATAGCATTCTTTTTTCTAACTTTTGTTATTTCGATGTCGCTCTGCAAATAGATTGTACATACTGTTGAGCAATGAATGCTATTATAATCATTATTATAGAACTTGCTTCAGTAACAGTAACTGTTACACTCAATCTTTCTGATAACAAAAAACTTATTAATACATGTATAGGGAAAATCATACCTACAATAAACTGTATGAATGAGTTTTAATATGGATTTTCATCAAGTATCGTCCAGTACTATTCAATTATTTCTGATAGCAATTTTACTGATGCATTTCAAAATTCCTTCTGGTGTATTTTGAAGATTCATGGCTGGAATGATTCGAATATTGCAGATTATATGGAAGTGAATTACTTTCGAAGAGTATTTGTCTGTACCTCCATGGTACCTCAATTAGGCGAAATGTTTTTAGGGAACTTCTTCAGTAACTTCAGATTGATTTCTATGTAATTTGACAGATTGATGTCATCCTTCAACTGAAGATAACAATTCACGAATCAGTGGGGCGGTACTTTCATACTTATTTTCAGATATTTATAGTCCAATATGCTTTATGGAGTTTTTCTTTCGACTGCAGAATCACAATAGTGGTGGATGTGATAGTCTTCGTGAAGGAGAACGGTTTACTACTGATGTTCACTACTGAGATTGGCTATGAAAGCTGATGATCTGTTCATTGAATTTCAAATAGCCATAAAAGTGATATATTCAATGAACGGCCATGATTCTGTATGATTTTGTTGCTCATGAGAACTGCTAGCATGTCATCAGCTGAATAGGGATAAATATGATAAATATATTGATATTCAAATTGAAATTTTTCGAGAGTTTCTGATACAGGAATAGCTACCAAAAAAGTTTTTTTTCGATACAAATCGGATGTGATGATGGTAGTAATTCTTACTTAATTATCATACATACACTCTCACCCTGAAATAGTGGGCTGTTGCTCCTCCTTTTTTAGCACCAAATTTGATTTCCTCTTGAGCAGCTAACTCTTCGATATCTTTGAATGGGGTGACCAACGTAGTGACTGTCAAAAAAGCAGCCAAATTAGCAGTGTAGGAAGATACCATAACCAGTACAAAAAACCACCACACTCCTGACGCGGTCCTTGTAGAAATTGCACTGGAACGAAAGAAATCAAGTCACATAGATAGAACAAAATTCGTTTTTTTGGGAGAAATCAGACTTTTTCATCGACCTCTTTGGAGATTTTCACCTTCCACAACCTGAAAAAAATTGCAAAGAAAATCTTTATAGTGGTGTAGAAATGGAAAAGTTTTCAGTTCATCCCGATGGGTTACTGCGTGAATTCAAAGTATTTTTCATGAATAACGATTTGCTACTCACCAGTGGAATGTGTAAATTCATTTATAAAAAAAGAGCTGAGAAATTGTACAGATACTCATTGTTTCAGAGGCCATAATCTGCCTTCATTTCAAGAATTGAGAAAATTTTATGTAACTCACAGTTTTTCTTTGGTTCACCTATAATTTTCAAACGACTTCAATTGATGTTTCTTTCCCTTTCATTTGATATGCTGCACGTCACGATCCGACTATTAATAACGAAGATACAGCTTAGTGTCGTTTAGGCATGCCGCCATGTTTTTTTTTTTACTCTACACACTCTACAGTGACGTCATCGACTTCTCCCTCTTTCACACACACATATTGCATTGTCTCACTCTAACACACTTCACACTCACCTCGAATTGGGTTTTCCACAAGGTTCCGCTTGGAGGTCCAAAAATGACCGAAATGAACCTCCAATAGAAAAAGCATGAGATTTTGTCCTAGAAGTAGCATTGTGCCTTCACTGTAAGACCCCCGTAACTGACCAAATACTCCTATGATTCATCATAAATCAACAGAAACTTGAATATGATATTTTGAACATTTGTAGTCCTGCCAAGATGAAGTTTCCTAACATCATCCAGTTCACATGAAAAAATTTAAGGTACACAAATAACAAAGATACGAGTATTGCGGTGAAGTTGATAGTTATAAAGTGTTTCTGGAGTTGTTCCTCCTCGTTCGATAAGTTGTTCTAGAAAAGATTCAAGATCTTGGTCATAGATGAAAAAGAGCCCAAATCTATTTCCTTCAGAGCCATCAATTAGTACAAAGCCTTTCATTTATTTTTTTATATGCTCGTTTTCATGAAACCTCAGGTTTCAAACAACAAAAAAGTTAAAACAATGTTTCTTCTATTACACTTACACTGGCGCCAGCTCCGAACCTTGCTGCATCAAAGCTCCAACAGTGAACCATAAAGAATTCCTGACGGTGAATTGATTAACAAGGTACTCCGGTTCCTCCACACAAGGAAAGGGGTTCTGCCATTCTGTGGGGGATAACCTTCCCATCACGAAGAAACTGATGGAAACTACGAAGTACGAAACTGCTAACAAGATCCATACATAGAATGAAAATGGTGACACGAACATGAACAAACTTGGTGGAACTGGTTCTGGTTTTCGGTAGAGAATACTTATACCTGGAAAATTCTCGCATTATAATCAGTAACCTTGAGATTCACTGTTGGTTTGGTAGAGACATGGAAAAGCTGTGAAACTCACCTAAGTTCATGAATGGCATTGTGAAATCTACTGCATTTTCTCTTTCAGATGTAACAGTCAAATCCGTGATCGCCAAATCAGCTCTCTTGAAAGAAAAATTTACTAAAACGGTCTGCTTGGTGCAAATTTTCAATGATTTCATTTGATTTATGAATTTCAATACCCTTAGAATATAAAAAATGATTTTCAATGTCAAAAATATTGTAATTAACAGTTTGTTATTTACATCCTTGATACAACTTTCTTATCATACAAATTTCCAATCCTCACCCCATCTATAATCTCTCTGAGCATCCCATTCCACTCCCCTGATGTTTTGTTGTAGTTTCCATAAAGTCCGTCCTCTTGAAGAACAAACGTGTAGTTGAATCCCAAAATTTTTGATAGCTCGTGAATAACGTCTACTCCAAAACCTTCGTATCTATCATTTCCATTCAGCTGTGTCGTGGTTTCTTTGAGCATTCCATATGGAGGAGTCTGTCAAATCTAAACAAATATAAAGAACCTACTATACTTATCAGTACAGTAAATGTCCTGTTGAAGATATTATCTCCTGGTTTACCACTTCCATATTTCACTCTATCTGGTCGATTCAAATGAACATTTCGCACAGACGAATTCCACTCTCCAATTTTGAGCAATCCATCAGGAAATAACTCGAGAACGTCTATTTTGAAATCTCTTCGGAAACCTTCCACATCAAACTGCACAAGTCCCGTTATGCCTTGTGTAGATTTCTGAAATCAAGCATTAAAAATATTCGTCACTATTATTATTGCATCCAAAACATGTATATCCCAAAATATACCGCAAGAATTGAATTCAAATTGTGAATATTCAAATGAACTCACCGATTTCATCAAGTTTATTATGGTATAACCGTCATTCCAACTGTTTGTAGATTTACAGCTTAGTGGCAGTGCTTTCAAAATCTTCTTCTGGTCAATGGTAAGGTCATAAAGTGTCTCGTAGAATAGGGTCACCGCATCGATTATCAGAGCCGTTTCCACTCTCACCTTATGGCCATCACCGTGAGGCTGCACTATCAAAGCTATTTGCTTGACATCAGTCTGTTCTGGGTCAACCATTCTGATCTAAAAATATTATAAGACTCATCGAATTCACGAGAGCAATATAGAGGAAACCAAAGCTATTTGCTTGACATCAGTCTGTTCTGGGTCAACCATTCTGATCTAAAAATATTATAAGACTCATCGAATTCACGAGAGCAATATAGAGGAAACCTGATTAATTACGAAAACCAGTAACAGAGAACGCCTAGTACAAGTTGAAAATATTTGAGGTAACATCCTTGCTTACATTTTAAATTTTCTTGAAACCAAAAGAAGAGGAATCCACGAAATTAACGCTCCACAAATATCTGAAATTGGTGCTACTTTGTTCCTTTATATCGATGATCTAATTTCATATACCAAAGGCAAAAAAATAGAAACTATACCACAGTCTTAAATTCGGTCCAATGAAACTGGCTTCAAATTTTCAGCAGACGAAACAAAGATAACTTTTTTCAAAGCAGGTGTGACCGAGATACAAACCTACATGGCAGAAACCTAAACAACGTTGATGATCTAAGATTCTTCGAAACGATATTTTGATCCAAATTAGACCGAAAAGTACACAGAAGCAATCTCATAAGAAATGCCAAAAAATGTTTAACATGTTTAACAAAATGTTTAACATCACAACATCACAAGAAGTGCAGACACAATACCTCTAGTCAGATCCCTAGTCAGATCTAATATGTATCAGATATAGATCGTTCAATTCTTGAGAGATTGCACGTCATTCAGATTCTACTTTATGATGTGAAGCAGGCGAACCTCCACCGAGATATTGCGGACAATATTCGAGCTTGCCATACGCTTCATACATTGTTACGAACCTCATTATATCCTACACACCGAAATATCCTTTCCACTCAATGGAAATTCCACGGATCATCCAGCTACAATCTCACCTCTCCATGAGAGAAAGAACGACATTCAGAAGAATTGAATTTGGTATTACCCCCAATGTTATCTAACAACATAACCTTTTTCTCAAAGGTGAATTAAATGAGATTGTCATGGGTGAGGATGTTATAGAAAGCGCTAAACATACACGATTTCTAGGTGTTCATATAGATTGCAGACTGAAATTCGTTTCAAATTTAAATAAAAAGTTGTCCTCTGGATGTTATGCCATAAGAGTAACATCGAATGAACTTTGGCCTTTCTTTTGCCAAGGTTGTGTACCATTCCTTAGTAGAATCCCACCTGATATATGGAATCCCATTCTGGGGGGTGTATAATATGAATCTCATAGATTCTGTTTTTGTTCTACAGAAACGTGCAGTAAAATACATGTGTAAAACAAGAATTCGAGATTCCTGTAAATCTCTTTCAGTTGAACACAAAATGTTAACAGTATTCGCCATTTTTCTTATGGAAACGGTTTGTCTAATTAAAAAACATATTCACAAATTTGACACTATTCACACACGTCCCGTCAAGCTGGCAACATTAGACTCCCGATCCCATCACTGACACTAATTAAAGATTCAGTAATTTATGAAGGCAGTAAGAATCACTTACCAAAACACTTTGAAGAAATAAGTTCAGTAGAACATTTCAGAAAGGAAGTAAAAGCTCTCTTGTTGGATAAACCGTATTATAGTTTACAAGAATTTTATAATGAAGCATTCTAACTTAGGCTAGTTTTAATAAAGAAATGTCTGTATAGGACGAAACTGCAGTAACGTTAGTTACAAATAAAAGTGGTAAAAAACATAGAAAGTTTCATTGCTCTTTTCTTCATCATGATTTCCTACCACGTAGTAACGGCTACATCCATCAATTGCTTGTTTCAATATGTTGTGAGATGTTTCTCATGTGCTAGATTTTATATATTGTTGTAGGTATGAGACATTATAGTATAATATCGATGTCGACTTATTGTTCCATTTCATCTTTCTGTGTGTGTATTTTTTACTTTTGTTAACAAGATTTTGTATCTTTGAACAATAAAGCATATTCTTTATCTCTCTCTTCTCCAACTCCTAAAGGGAACCTCACTCTATCTCCATCAGAAAAACTTAACCCCCAAACACATATCCTAGAAAATATGTTCCATGAGAATAATATACCTGATCGGCAGTCAGTATGCAACACGAACTATAGCCATCCAGGCCATAATGTATAGCTCTGGAATTATGCCTGTTGACCATATTCTGAAATATCGTATACATCAGAGATTCCAGTAAATTGGTGAATATTGAGGTTGTCAAATGATCAAGTTTGGAAGATCCAACAACATTCCTAAATGAGGGCATCTGAAATTCAGCTATACCTGACGATACAATAGATATAGCTATGGGCTAGTTCTGGGTGGTTAATGATTTGAGCATATGCGTTTGCAGAACTGCACAGGGGAGGCTTGTTTCCCCTCCTGGTGGAAGCAATTAGCAGAGTAACGTTATGAGACGCTAAAAATTTGATCAAAAACCGCATATATGCTGAATGGCAAGAGGATTGGCTGGAGAAAACTTTTGAGTTGTCACCGATGAAAACATTCCATTGTGTACTTCCAGAAGTATTGGACATAAAAATTTCTCGCGTGAATATCTCTTCTGTCGAAGTGAGCAATCCATTTGTCGCATAAGAGTTGACGCAATATCGGTGGCATACGTGCTAGAACCCTGTTCACTTTTTGAAGATGCAACACATCAAAATGAAACGTCACACATAATGTCACGCGATGTTTTAAATGACAATATATAAAGATTGTTACAAAGCTAAAGACAATAACAGAGATGGAGACTCTGATTTTGTAAACCTTTTTGCTATCAACTTTTCCAACATTTATTCCAGCAATATTACAGAATCTAACAACAATATAACTTTTCTAACGGTTCGACAAATATTTTTCGAATTGAATTGACTCTGTGGAAGTATTTTACCGAGCTGTTAGTAGGACAGGATAAGTTAGGTTGTGGACTAGATGAAATTCCCGCTCATCTGTTATAAAGATGTGTCCATACCCCAAGTAACCCATTTTGGACGATCAGCACCAAGTGGAATTTTTTCAGTTGAATGATGGAATAGTGATATTCAATATTCAAACACAATGATAAGGCTAATTTTGTGAATTATTGTTCAATTACAAAACTTTCTGTAATTTCCGAATTCTTGAGAAATTAATTCATGCCCTTTCATTACATTGTGGAGATCTGATTACGAACAAACAACTTGCTTTGTCTGATGATTCTGGCTTTATTAGCCGTGGTCTGCAACTTTATATACCTGACGTTTCGTCTGCTACTGCGGCAGACATTAAAAAATGATTTAAAGTCGCGGGGAAGAGAAATCGACAAAATTTATGGGACATATAAATTGTTACAATCGAAAACCCCAGTTCACAACGGAGAAAATAAAGGAAGGGAACTGCTTCCATGGATGTATAAGTGGAAAGACAGGAGAGTGACAGACTGGGGTATGAAGAAAACAGAAAACCAACCTATACGGACTGATATTTGTATGAGTAGTCCAATCATCATCCACGATAAAAAAGAAGTGTTATTAGGACACTGGTAGAGAGGCCAAGACGAACTGATATTCATATGAGCAGTTCAATCATCATCCACGACAAAAAAGAAGGGTTATTAGGACACTGGTAGAGAGGCCAAGACGTATCTGCGAGCCGGAAGGGCTACAAAAGGAAAGGTGTCATCTGAAGGATGCATTTTCGGGTGGCAGAAATAACGAGGCAGAAATCAACAAACCCTTACGACCCATACATAAACTCTTCACGGTGACACTGGAGCGAATGGCCAATGGAAGAACTCTTCTGACCCAGATAAGCGATGTAACGGACCCAATTGAAAGGATCCTTGAAAAACATGGAGTTACATCTAATTTCAATGGGAACTGCTTCCATGGATGTATAAGTGGAAAGACAGGAGAGTGACAGACTGGGGTATGAAGAAAACAGAAAACCAACCTATACGGACTGATATTCGTATGAGTAGTCCAATCATCATTCACGATAAAAAAGAAGTGTTATTAGGACACTGGTAGAGAGGCCAAGACGAACTGATATTCATATGAGCAGTTCAATCATCATCCACGACAAAAAATAAGGGTTATTAGGACACTGGTAGAGAGGCCAAGACGTATCTGCAAGCCGGAAGGGCTACAAAAGGAGAGGTGTCATCTGAAGGATGCATTTTCGGGTGGCAGAAATAACGAGGCAGAAATCAACCAACCCTTACGACCCATACATAAACTCTCCACGGTGACACTGGAGCGAATGACCAATGGAAGAACTTTTCTGACCCATATAAGCGATGTAACGAACCCATTTGGAAGGATCTTTGAAAAACATGGAGTTACGTCTAATTTCAATGCTACGAGAACAACAGAGAACAGTCCCAGGTCACCAAAAGACCCCAGGAATTAATCACGTACCCCAGGAGTATATCGAATACCGTGTGGTTGTGGTGCGTTCTACATCTACGAGTACATCCACAGACATAGCAATTGTAATACCAATGAATATTACTGGAGTTATTTCCCAACACCAAACCTATTTTAACACCTCGACCCGTGTTTCGATCACCAAGTGATCAACTTCAAAAGGAAGATCGAACCTTGAAGATGATCACTTGGTGATCAAAACACGTGCCGAGATGTTGAAATAACGGTTTGGTGTTGGGAAAAAACTCCAGTATTATTACTACACCAAAGGTTTTCCAAACAGTGCATCACAAATATAATACTAATAACCGCACGTCTATTCGAGAGGTTAATAATATTTATAATAATTTTCAACATGTAAATTTGTATAAGTGCTATGATTTTTCGTGAGCCCAGTGGTTGGTGCGCTTTACTTTGATTTATGAAAAAACATGCAAAACAATAAAAGTTCTTACCCCTGTAATATTGGTTCCGCCATACCGGAATGGCTCGAGATCTATGGTCTGCATATCCAGATCTGTGATAAGGTAGCTATATATTTCCGTCATCATTCCTACTTGTTGCAACTGCTTCAAAACATTTTCCAAAATATCAGTGGAGCAGGTCAAAACGAATCTAGTTTCTCCTAAAGCTTTTACTTCGCTCAGCATTTGTCTATAGTTTCCTTTGCTACCCGCCGAATGTAGTTGCTTGAGTAAAACCTTTCTACCTTGATAATCAGGTAGAATTGAAAAGTTGTTAGTTTTTCTCACAATATTTTTTGTTCACAAATATTCTAGCTGAACCATCGTTTAAATTTTTATTTGAATGGAGTAAGTTATATTTTTCACTTGTTTTGATTTGCAAGTGGTTGAGAATTCAGGTAAAGCATAATACTTGAAATCCAAAGTGGTTTGTGAATTGAAGACAACTGAAATAAGATATTTCAGAATATTGAAACTGAAATTTTTTCATTGCTAATGTTTGGAATGCAAACTACGATACTCAAGTTTGAAATCTATTTTGAGTTATCTCTGATCCAGGAACTAAAATTAAAAGAAAATTGATACCTATGGTTGATCTTATGGATTCAAAAAGTAATTCATTTGCAGGAATATGATTCTGTTAACTCTAGCTGCCTGTTCAGAAAATGAAATGAATCATCAATTTCTATTTTGTCCCCCAGCGTTTTTTTTTTCAACTTGACGTGCTATTTTTAGTCATGGCTCT